CTCCTCCGGGCGCCAGCCCTGCACTGACCCAGGGAGCCCCTGCCCTGGCCCGCAGCACCCGCCATGGGGCCTCGGCGCCGAGTCAGGGTGGCCAAGTGCCAGATGCTGGTCGCCAGCTGCTTTATCCTGGTAAGAGGCCGGTGGGGGCCCACGCCCCTCACCCCTGCCCGGCACAGCCCTGCCCCACGGACACCCCTGCCCCGTGGCCACGTGTTGGGTCAGGTGGAGGCACAGGGTGGCCCTGCGGGCAGGAGCCCGTGGCTGTCCGTGCCCTGCCAGAACAGGGGGTGCGGGAGGCTGGCCGTGGGGTCTCCCATACAGGGCTGCAGGGAGCTGGAGCCCCGACTGCACACAGACGGCCTGCAGTTGGGGGCCTGGACGAGCCGCCGAGGGGCTGGGGTCGTCCGGGCCGGTGCCAGCCCCGATCTGGCTGTCCCCAGGTGCTAGGCCTCTCTGTGGCCGCCGCGGCAGCCCTCACCTACTTCGGTGCCCACTTTGCTGTCATCGGCCGCGCGGCCCCGGAGAGGGCCTCCTACCAGCCAGTGCACCGCCGGGGTGAGTGGGCTGAGTGGGAGGACCCCTGTGGGCAGGGCCCTGGGGGCTGCGGGGGGGCGGGCTGCAGGGGTCCCCGACAGGCTGGGCAGCTCCGGGGCACAGAGCGCTCTGGGCTGCCCTCAGAAGACCCAACAGGAACCGAGGAGGCAGGTGCAGCTGGGAGGGCTGGGGAAACGGACACCTCAGGGCTGGGCTGGCGGGGTGCCCAGCCCCCCACGCAGCTCCCCCAGGCCTGCAGGCCCGCCTCGTGGCCAGAGAGGGAAGCCCGCTGGGCCTGGCCAGGGCCTGATAAGATGACGGCCTCACCACCCCCACGGGGCCGTTGGGCTGTGGAGATAGTGGGGCAGGAAGCAGGGCTGCGCGGGGCGTCCAGGCCCGCTCCCCTGGGGGCCCCTTGAGCAGTGCAGGAAGGAGGGGTCTCGGGAGTCGGCGCCCCCTCCCACGACCTCCGGCTTGGGCTTCAGACCCGGCTCCCTGCACCCCTAACCCTTCCCGCTCCCGCAGCCGTGTGCTCGGGTGTCGGGCTGGCGGCGCTGCTGGCCTTGGGGGCCCTCCTGAGTGCTGCTGCCACCGTGCGGGAGGCCGCGGGCCTCATGGCCGGGGTGAGTTCTCCAGGGCCCCACCCTTGGCGTCCGTGGGGCCCGGGGCCCCACGTCAGTGACCAGCATGGGCGCTCCCAGGCCCCAGGCTGCAAGGGTGGGGTCGGGTGGGAGGCCCCTTTCCTGTTTTGAAGAGATGGGGGTGAGGTAGGCCCCTGACGTCCGGTTCCTGGGGGTCCGGGCTGCCCCAAAGGCTCCTGCAGCCAGGTGACCCCTCGCCCGCCTAACCCCTCACCTGAGCTGACACCGAGGCCTGCCGGCCGGCACCACACCCTCTGCCCACGGCCTCTGGGGTTCCCCTTGGGGGGCCCGGGTTCCACAGGACCTGGCTCCCCTCTGCCCTAGCAGCCAGCCCGGCACAGCGCAGCGCCCTCCCGCCCAGCTACCCCAGCTGGGCACTGCCGGCCGCGGCCTCTCCCCCCAGGGCCTGGCCCCCAGGCGGGTGGGGCTGCCCAGGCAGGCGCCATCTGACACCCCCGCCCCCGCCCCTGGTGCTGGTGCCAGGGGTGGGGTCTCGTCCTGCCCCCGTGGTCGTGGGAGTGGACGGGCAGAGTGGGGTC